GCTAGAATGGAATGGAAATAGTCAATGGCAAATCCAGGACTAATTCCCAAGGGGCAGAGGGTAAAGGGGTCAGCAGAGAAAGTAGACACAATAATAACAATGACAACAAAGCAATAACAGCAGCCTTCACTGATTGTCACATAACAGGGACCCTGCTTTACATGTCTCACCTTCAGCCCTTGCAGGTAGACACTATTTCTCCATTTAAGAGAGGCATAGACTGGTTCTTGGGGAGATCAGTGATTTTCTGAGGCCACACAGCCAGCAGATGCACTAAGTCATTCAAACTCTAGAGTATGAGCTTCTGCCCTAAAGTAGCTGTGTGGCCTTGGGGAAGTGACTTAACCTCTCTGAAATTCATTTTTATCCTCTGTCAGTCGGGGGTAAGTTACAGGACTCCCCTCCAGGGCTTGTATGAGGAATATCTGAGATCCTGGATGGAAAGATCTTAGCACAGAGTGTAACGTGGAGTAAGCTCCTACCAAACCTCAGCTGTTATTATTGCTGCTATTTTTATTCTCGTTGTTATCATTACTATGAATAGAACGTGAAATAAAGTTTCCCATTCTGGGAGGAGACATTCTGAGCTCTTGCACCAGATGGGAATATACTGGGCAACAGGGATGTGGATCCAGACTCTCCCCCACAACCTCTAATTCTCGCTCAGGCAGTGACACAGGGTGTGACTTCTCTCCCACCCTCACTGCAGTCTGTGGCCCTGCCCTGTCCATTCACCATTAACTTCACCATCACAAACCTGCGGTACATGGAGGACATGTAGCCTCTGGGCTCAGAGAAGTTCAACAAAATAGAGGAGGTCTTACAGCCCCTGGTGAGAGCCCCACCCACCTCATTTCTGCACTCCCCACCAATGCCATCCCTGCCCACCTCTCCCATGCCCACCTCGTCTCTCCCTGCCTCCCAGCTGATGCCCACCCTGCCCACCTCATCCCAGCCCTGCCCCTGTCCTGCTCAGTCCTTCTATTCACCTCCCTCTCCTTCTCCAACAGCTCAGACCCTTGTTCAAGAGCACCAGTGTCAGCCCATCTACTCCAGCTGCAGACTGACCTCGCTCAGGTGAGACCTCCAGAGACGATGGCACAGCGAGGCATAGTGGAGATGCTTACCCATAGTCCTCTAGGGCTGGGTCCTCCCTTTGGCCTCAGCCCTTTCCAGTCCCCCACCTGGGACAGTCACTGTCCCTCAGGCTTTTGGCCTCCAGGCTCTGCTCTGGATTTTCCCATCCTCCTCAGCCTCAAATCTCCCACACAATATTTACTAGGAACAAAATGAAAGAACATAGCAACACAAAGGTACGCACTAGATTCCTTCATAAAGAATGTACCCCCTATCCTTCACAAAGGATAGACCCACAACCTCCCATGCCTCCAACCCCACACGACATGTAAACATTTCTGAAGGCTGACATAGAGCAAGCACTTGGTCTGTGTGAGATGTTGGAGTTCTCGACACATGGTCATTGTTGACATTCTGGTTGAGAGAAATCTAGCTGTGGGTGGCTGTCCTCTCGACTCTAGGATATTGATCAGCATCTTGGCCTCTACCCACTAGGTACCTGAAGTACCTTAACCCCACAACGTTGTGACAACATCACCATTAATATCCTCATTTTACCATGAAACATCAAGGCACAGAGACATTAAGGGACTTTCCCAGAGCCCATAGCTGCCCAGTGGTGGAGCCGGGATTCAAGCCCTCTCTCAACATCAGTGTTACACCAGTTGTTGGATTTTCAGTGAACATTTATTGAAACTGACCACCTTCCAGGCACCATGCTAAGTTACATACTGTATTAGTTTGCTAGGGCTGTTGTAACAAAATACCAAACAACGGAAACATTTCTCACAGTCTGGAGGCTGAAGTCCAGGATCAGGGTGCAGGCAGAGTTGGTTTCTGGTGAGACCTCTCTCCTTGGCTTACAGGTGACTGCTCTTTTGCTGCCTCTTCACCTGGTTGTCCCTCTGCACACGCATTCCTGGTGTCTGTGTGTCCTAATCTCTTCTCAGAAGGACATCAGTCAGATTGGATTAGTGCCCACCCCATGGCCTCATTGTAACTTAATTATGTCTTTAAAGGCCCAAATACAGTCACATTTTGAGCTTCTGGGGATGAGGACCTCAACATGTGACTTTTGGGGAAGAACACAATTCATCCCAAAACACATACACTCTATCCTTTAATTGTCAGCACAACCATCTAACTTAGCTTCATTTTGCAGATGAGGAAACTCAGGCTCAGAGAGGCTGCCAAGCCACACAGCAAATAAGTAATAGAACCCAGAGTTCCTATCACTCCCAAACTCCTGATCTTGCTGTCCATGCTATTCATCACCAGTTACTTTATTCCAAAAGACATGATGATTTTTGGTTACACCTAGTATGTTCAAGTTCATGGGCCAAACTCCCTTTGTATCCCCAGCAAACCCTATAGTGAGAACCTTGTAGGTTTTCAAGAATTAATTGCCCTTGCATTAGGGTTATGTTTTCTTAACCCCCTCAATCTGTCCTTGGTCCATCACTGGTCTTTTACACCAAAGCATCCCCCCTCACTCCTTCCAACCATGGCAGGATCCTGGGCTCCTGAGGTCCTATAACAACCATCTTTTCCCAAATGGTAGGAGGAAAAATAAGTTAGAGTCAGCTCCATTGACTGTGTTTTGTTTATCACTATCCAGTCCTTGGAATAGTTCCTGGAGCATTATAGGACCAACTTGGTGTCCATGGAGGGACGTCAAGAAGGATGGATGGAAGGAAAGAAGAAGTGATGGATGAGAGGAGGGAGAGAAGATGGATGAGCAGATAGAAGGAAGAAAAAGATGAATGGAATAAAACAGAAGAGAGAGGAAGGAAAGATGTATAAATAGATAGAAGGAAGAAAAGAAGGATGGGAAGAAGGAAAGATGGATGGATGGATGGAAGAAAGGAAAGGATGGAGGGAGGATGAAAGGAAAGATGGATAGATGAAAGAAAGGGAGGTGGAAGGAAGGATGGATAAAAGGATGCATAGAAGGAGGTATGAATAGGAAGAAGGAAGGAAAGGAGTGAGGGAGGAAGATGGATAAATTGATGGTGGAAGAAAGGAAAGAAGGCATGGAGGGAAGAAGAAGAAAAGATGAAAAGAAAGGAAGAGTGAGTTCATGAATGGATGGAAAGAAAGATGAAAGGAAGGAAGGAAGGATGACTAGCAGGAGGCTTGAAAGGAGTACTGAACAGAAGAGAGGGAAAGTAAGATTTTCTTCCACAATTTTGTCTTAGACATTTAGCCCCTGCATCACTTACCTATTCTAGAGTCAAGACGTGGGGCCTCTGGTCTCATCTGTATCATTTATTCTGCTTTTCCTGGGGTCTATACAGGTCACCCCAACTATTGAGCACTGCACCAGAAGCATAAGTCTAAGCAAGAGCATAGCTGGGAAGGTCACAAGCAAGGACTTGGGAGTCAGAGAACTGGGTCCAACCAGACTCTCTCTCCCTCTAGCCATGTGACGCTAGGCAGGTGACCATTTCTGTACTGTGTTTTGCTCCTTTGTTTAATGTGGGTAATTGTAGTACTCAGCTTATATTTATCCATGTAAAAATCTCTGCATAAGGTCAAGTTCTGAGTACGTATCAAGAGTATCACATTGGGCTGGCAGAACGGGTCCTTAGATTCATTGATAACTTTCTGCAGAGGTTGCCAAAGGAGTTAAGAACATAAGGGATTTCAGGATTCTGTATATCTGGTGAACTTATTGGTAGTTTTGCAGTTTTCCTCTTATCTCCGCATCAGGAGTTCTAATGTACAGCTTGTGAATGTGCACAATAAATACTCACTAAAGAGCAATTAGAACAAATAAAAAAAAACAATCTCTGCGTATAGTCAGTGATCAGAAAGCATTTGCGTATTTGTTTTGTGTAATAAACCCTTACATAGCGTTTACTCCATGCCCAGCACTGAGCTTAAGCACTTTACAAAAATTAACTTGTTTAAACCTCACAGCAACCTTTGAAGTAGAAATCCTTATTATCTCATCATACAGATGAGTAAATCTAGGTGAAAAGAGGTTGGTTATAACTATTAGGATTGTTGGGGTGACCTGTGTAGTTGGGGTCACCTGTGTAGACCCCAGGAGAAGTAAAATAAATAAACATACGATGCAGGTGAGACCAAAGGCCCAGTGGCCTGACTCTAGAATAGATAAGTGATGTAGGGGCTAAATGTTTAGACTTTTTTTAGCCAATGCATAGAAGATTGGTATAGCTGGTTATAAGGGCAGGAGAGATAGATGATGATAAATAGGTAGACAGACAGACAGATAGATTGACGATAGATAATCTCCTGCCCTTACAAGCAGGTAGGCCAGTCTTCTGTGCCGTAGTTTAGAAAGCCAATGATCCTAGGAGATAGAGATAGATTTGGATATAATCATAGATATATTGGTCTAGATTGATCTATCTATCTGTATAGAGAAAGAGAGGGAGAGAGAGATGGAGGCACAGAGAGACAGAGATGGGAGTGGAGAGAGTGTGGGTGAAAATCTCTAGGGTCATCAGTTCCACATCAGCATGGTGAGTTGGAGCCTTTCCTCCTGGGAAAGTAGAAAGCCACCAGTGTTTTCACAGAGCCCTCTACTCCTGCACCTGGGTGGAAATGCCCATCTCCACCCCTGAATCATTAAGCCTGCCCTTACTCGCTGCTGGAGTGTCTCCATTAACAAGTGACTCTCAGGCTTATCAGAAGGAGGGCACAGGCCCTGTGAAGCCCCACCCTGGGGTGGACATTGGTACCCCTGACCTCCCTGCGAGCCTCAGCTCTCTCTGCACCTACCGTAGCTGGGGAAGTCAGTGAGGAGCCATTCACAGTGAACTTCGCCGTCCACAGCCTGCTCTCCTCGGCACATGGGCCGCCCCAGCGCCCTCAAGTTCAACATCATGGACACCGTCCTGCAGCACCTGGTGAGAGGCCTGCGTCCCCTCCCACCCCTCTGTGACCCATCCTAGGGGCTGTTGCCCACCTCTGACCACTGCTGGCATTCTCCTTCCTGTCTAGTTCAGCCTGTTGTTCTGGAGGAGCAGCCTGGGGCCCCAATATGTAGACTGCAAGAACATCTTGCTAAGGTGGGAACACCGCCACCCCCCATGGCCCACCACCAAAGGACACGGACTCCTGACTGTGGGGCCACCCCTGGTTGCAGTGGGCTGTTCTCGGGAGGTCCTTTTCTGCACCCATTATTTTTATATTACATTATTAATTTTTAAAATTGTGATAAAAGACATAAAATTAGCCATTTTAACCATTTTAAGTGAACAATACAGTGGCATCAATGACATGCACAATGTTTTGCACCCATCACCACCATCTAGTTCCAAAGCTTTTTCATCACCCCAAGGAGAAACTCTGTACCCATTGGGCAATTACTCTCCAGTCTCTGGGTCAGTTTGCATTCTGTTGGTATTTATAAAGCACTTCTCCATTCATATTTTCATTTGACTGATGCTGATGGTACAGCTCCTCTGAGGCAGGTGGTGGGCCCCACAGTGACAAGACAGGCACTGCCCCTGCCCTCATCTGGTGGAGAAAACAGATGTTAAGCATGAGAATAAATATCTAAGTAAAGTGATTTCAAATGCAGTAAGGTAATGCAGAGTATAAAGAAACAGAGAGCCATGAGAAAGCAGCTTCACCCAGGGGACAGTGTAGCCTCTCTGTGTAGGTGACTTCTGAGCTGTGTCCTACTTGGCAAGAAGGATTTGGCCATGAAAACTTCCAGGCATGGGTAACGGCATGTGCAGAGGTCCTGAGGTGGGAGTGAGCTTGGCATGTTCAGTGAACAGCAAGGAGGCCAGTGTGGCTAAAGCAGAGACAGAGCAAGGAAGAGACAGAGAGGAGAGTAGATAAGAGATATCAGCAGGGTCTACACTGTGTAAAGTCTGGGAGGAAATTGATTTTTTTTAATTGTAAAATACACATAACTTAAATTTACCATCTGAACTTTTTGTGTGTGTGTGTGAGGAAGATTAGCCCTGAGCCAGCATCTGTGCCACTCTTCCTCCACTCTGCATGTGGGTCACCACCACAGCATGGCTGGCTGATGAGTGGTGTAGGTCTGTGCCCAAGATCTGAACCCATGAACCTGGGCCACCAAAGTGGAGTGCACTGAACCCAACCACTTTGCCATGAGGCTGGCCTTTCAGCTGAACTTTTTTTTTTTTGGTGAGGAAGATTGGCCGAGCTAACATCTGTTGCCAGTCTTCCTCTTTTTGCTTGAGGAAGATTGTCCCTGAGCTAACATCTGTATCAATCTTCCTCTATTTTTTGTATGTGGGACGCTGCCACAGCATGGCTTGATGAGTGGTGTGTAGGTCTGTGCCCAGGATCCGAAGCAGTGAAACCCAGGCCACCGAACTTAACCACTACTTAACCACTACTAAGTGTACAGTTCAGTAATGTTCTGTATATTCACGCTGTTGTGCAGCCAATCTCCAGAACTTGCAGAACTGAAACTCTGTACCCATTAAACAACTCCTCCCTGGTTCTCTCTACCCCCAGATCTTGGCAACCACAATTCAACTTTCTGTCTCTATGAATCTGATTCCTCTAGGTACCTCATATAAGTGAAATCATATAGTATTTGTCTTTTTGTGACTGGCTTATTTTACTTAGCATAATGTCCTCAAGGTTCATCCATGTTGTAGCATGTGTCAGAGTTTCTTTTCTTTTTAAGGCTGAATAATATTCCATTGTGTGTATGTATGTGTATGTGTGTGTGTATATATATATATATATGTATATATATATATCATATTTTGCTTATCGATTCCTCAGGACTTTAGTTTTTACATGGAGCAGGCAATGTGTGGGTTCTGGGAGTTCAACATGACAAGAGTGAACTAGACTGTTCTACTCCCTGACCTCATGGAGGTCACCCTCTGGAGGGAACAGGGACAAATAATATATACTCACATAGAGGGTAACCAGGGATGTGATGGGAGAAGCAAGAGGTATTGTGGGAACCAGAAGAAGTCCCTGACCCAGCCTGGGAGGGTTCTTAGAAGAGGAGGGGGTATCTAAGCTGAAACCTGAAGGATGACTGGGAAATTACCCAGGTAAGGAGAGAAAGGGAGAGACTTCCAGACAAAAGTCACTGCATGTGCAAAGATCCAGAGGTGAGAGAGTATGGCCAGATGGAGAGCTTGTGAGTCTGGGAGCCCCGCGGCCCTGGCATGTTTGAGATGGACATCTGGTTGACCCAAGCTTCCCAGGACCTGAGGCCAAGTCCAAGATGGATAGCTGTTTGACTTGGGCACACGGGGACCCAGGGATGGGAAATGCAGGTGCCTGGAGCCTGGAATTTGGGCACTCTGGATCCCCGAAGCCATGGGAAGCTCAACATGGACGTCTATTCGATCCAGGCTTCTGGGACACAGGGCTAAGTCTAGGATGGAGAGGTGGGCAACCCGTGGACCCAGGAAACCAGGGACCTGGGGACCTGGGGACTTGGGGTCCCAGAGGCTGGAACTTGGGAGCCTGAGAGCCAAGAGGCCCTGGGATAATCAGGTCAGACATCTGTTCATTTTGAGGTCTGGTGACCTGGGGCAAAGTCTGGGATGGACAGCTTGTCGACCCAGGGACCTGGGGACCTGTATCCTGGAGCTTAGGAGCCTGGGAACCCCAAGGCCCTGTGATGCTGGGAACTGACACCTCAAACAGAGCATCCTGGGACCAGGGCCCAAGTCTGTGATAGACAACTGGTCAAGCAGGGGACCTGGGCACCTGGGTGCCCAAAGTGTGGAGCTTGCGGGCCCAGGAGCTCCAAGGACCTAGGACACTTGTGATGGACATCTGGTTAACCTGAATGACCAAAGACCCTAGGCCAAGTCAGGGATGGATAGCTGGTTGACCTACGGTCCCAGGGACCAGAGGACCCAGGAACTGGGGACACAGGGACCCAGGAGGCAGGAGCTTGGGAGCACAAAAGCCCCAAGTCCCTGGGACACTCAGAACAGACATCTGGTAGACCTGATCATCTGGAGACCCGGGGCCAAGTCCAAGATGGACAGCTGGTGAAATGGGAACCCGGGGACCAGCAATGCAGGTGCCCAGAGCCTGGAATTTGGGTGCCCTGGAGCCCTGAGACCATGGGAAGCTCAAGATGGACATCTGGTTGACCCAAGCCTCTGGGGACATGGGGTTAAGTCTAGGATGGAGAGCTAGTTGACATGTGGACCTGGGGAACCATGGACCCAGGGACCTGGGGTCCCAGAGCCCAGAACATGGGAGCCCAAGATCCAAGGGGCCCTGGGTCACTCGGGTTGGATATCTGGTCCATCCGAGATCCAGGGCAAAGTCTGGGATGGACAGACTGTTGACCTGTGGACCCCAGGTCCCAAAGCCTGGAGATTAGGAGTCTGGGAACCCTGAGGCTCTGGGATGCTTGGGATGGACATCTGGTTTACCCGAGCATCCTGAGTCCTGGGGACAAGTCCCTGATGGACTGTTGGTCAACCCTGGGATCCAGAGACTGGAGGCCTGGAGCCTGGGGCTTGGGTGTCTGGAAGCCCCAAGGCCCTGGGACACTCATGAGAAACATCTACTTGAACAAGCTTGCAGGGACCCAGGGCCAAGTCCAGGACAGACAGGTGGTCAACCCGTGTACCTGGGGACCCAGAACCCAGAGCTTGGGAGCCCCAAGGCCCTGGGATGCTTGGGACATGTATCTGGTTGACTAGAGCAACAGGGACCTGTGGCCAAGTCCAAGACATTCATCTGGTCAATCAGGAGACCTGGGTACCAGAGACCCATAGACCAAGGAGCCTGGGGTGCAGGATTTGGGAGCCTGGGAGCCCTGAGGCCCTGAGATGCTCGGGATAGACATCTGGTGAACCTGAGCCTTCAGAGACGCAGCATCAAGTCCAATACAAACAGCTGGTTGAACAGGGACCCTGATACCAGGGGACTCATGGACCTGGGAGCAGGAGCCCGGAGCTTGGGAGCTTGGAAGCCTGGGATCCTGAGGCCCCGGGACGCTCAGGATGGACATCTGGTTGACCTGAGCATCTGAGTACCCGGGGCCAAGTTTGGGACAGACAGCTGGTTGACCCAGGCCCCACAGGTATCAAGGGACCTGGAAACCTGGGGGCCCAGAGGCCCTGAGACACTCGGGACAAACATGTGGTATAACCAAGCATCCCAGAGCCCAGGGCCAAGTCTGTGCCAGACTCTCGGTTTACCCAGGAACTCAGAGACCTGGGGACCTAGGGACCAGGATCATGGAGCCTGAATATTAGGTCCCAGGAGCCCTGAGGCCCCAGGATCCTCACGATGGATATCTGGGGACCAGGAGCCATGTAGTAATGGTTGACTTTGGGACCTGGGGGCCCAGGAGCCCCGAGGACCTGGGACGCTCATGATGGACATCTGGTCATCTTGAGTGACCAAGGACCAGAGACCGAGTCAGGGATGGACAGCTGGTCCAACTAGGGACCCAGGGACCTGGGACCTAGGGACATGGGGACCTGGATGCTGGTAGCCAGGAGCTTGGAAGCACAAAAGCCCTGAGACCCTGGGATGCTTGGGACAGACATCTGGTAGACTATCATCCGGGGACCCGGGGCCAAGTCCTGGATGGGTAGCTGGGGACCCAGGGACTTGGAGTCCCAGGACCCAAGATCCCAATGCCCAGGGTTTGGAATCCCAGGAATCCAGAGACTTTGGGACTCTCTGGATGGACATCTGGTCGACCCAAGCATCTGTGAACCAGGGGCCAAGACTGGGATAGAAAGCTGATTGACCCATGGACCTGGTGATGCAGGGACCCAAAGATCAGGGGCCCAGAGGCCGGAACTTGGGATCCCGGGAGACTTGTGGGCCTGGAGGCTTGGGATAGATATCTAGTCAACCCAAACATTTGGGGTCCTGGAGCAAAGTCCATGACAGACAACTGGTCAACTTGAGGACCCGGGGACCCATGACCTGGGGACCCATTGACCTAGGCACCCAGCATCCTGAACATCCAAGAAAATTTAACAAAGTCTGCAACAGAAAGCTGGGCAACCGGGGTACTCAAGGACCTGGTGACCTGAAGAGCTGGAGGCCCAAAGCCCAGGAGTCCCAAGGCCATGGGATGCTCAGGATGGACATCCGATTGACCCAAGCCTCCAGTGACCTAGGGCAGTGCCTGAGATGGACAGCTGGTCAACCTGGGGACCTGGAGACTCAGATCCCAGGGATCCAGGGGCACAAACCCCATAGCTTGGGACCCTGGGAGCCCCAAGGTCCTAGGATGCTCAGGACAGACATCTCATCAACCAGAGCATCCAGGGAACCTGAACCAAGTCTGTGATGGTCAGCTGTTCCACCCAGGGACCCGAAGACCTTGGGACCTGGGGGACTGGATCATGGATATTGGGAGCCAAGGAGCCCTGAGATCCTGGGTCTCTCAGGATACACATCTGGTCACCCAAGCTTCTGGGGACCCAAGGCCAAGTCCACCATGGACAGCTTGTTGACCAAGGGAACTAGGCACATAGGAACCCAGGGACCTGGGAGCCCAGAGCTTGGGAGGCCAGGTTCCTGAGGACTTGGGTCGCTTGAGATGGACATCTGGTAACCACAAGCATCTAGGTTCCTGGGGCCATGTCTGCGATGGACAGCTGGTCAACCTAGGTACCCAGGGATCTGGGGACCAGCGAGCCTGGAGCCTGGAGCTTGGGATCCAAGGAGCCCTGAGTCCGTGGAATGCTCAGGATGGACATCTGGACATCCTGAGCATCCAAGACCAAGTCCAGAGTGGACAGCTAGTAACCTGGGGACCCAGGAATCTGGCGACCTAGGAAACCAGTGAGCTGGGGGCCTGAAGTCTGGAGGATGGGAGCCCAGAATCCCCAAGGCTCTGTGACACTTGAGACAGATATCTGGTCGACTCAAGCATCTGGGGACCAGGGGCCATGTGGTAATGGACATCTGGTTGACTCTGGAACCCCAGGCCCATGGACCCAATGACATGAGGAAGCAGGGACCCAGGAGCCTAGAGCCTGGAGCTTTGGAATTCAGTAGCCCTGAGGCCCTGGTACTCTCTGGATGGATATCTGGTGGAACCCAATGTCTGGGACCTGGGGCCAAGTCTGGGATGGACAGATGGATGACCCAGGAGCCTGGGGACCTGAGGACTTGGGGTTCCCAGAGGTCCAGAGCCCAGAGTTTGGGAGCATGGGAGCTCTGGGACACTGGGATGCTCACAATGGACATATGTTTGACTCGAGCATCCCAGAGCCCAGGGCCAAATCTATGACAGATACCTGGTCACCCAAGGACCTAAGGACCGTGGAACCTGGGGTTCTGGGGGCCCATGGTCTGGAGCTTGGGAGCCTGAGAGCCCCAAGACACTGGAACACTTGGGACAGACATCTAGGAGACCCAAGTGTCCAGGGACCCAGGGCCAAGTCTGGAAATGACAACAGATTGACCCAGGGAACCGGGCACCTGGGGGTCCAGAGCTCTGAGCTTAGGAGCTCAGGAGCCCAGAGGCCCTGAAATGTTAGGGACAGACATCTGGTTGACCTGAGCATCCGTGTACACATGACCAAGTCCAGGACAGACAACTGGTTGACCAGCGCACCCAGGGACCTGGAGGCCTGGAAACCAGAGCCCAGAGCTCGGGAACCTGGGAGCCCAGAGGCTTTGGGATGCTTGGGATGGACATCTGGTCGACCTGAGCAGCCAGGCACCTGCAGCGAAGTCTGCAACAGATGGCTGGTCTACCCAGAGACCCGGGACCATGGACTCAGAGCCCTGGAGCCTGGAGCTTGGGATCCTGGGAGCCCCAAGGCCCTGGGATACTCAGGATGGACATCTGGATGACCCAGGCATCTGAGGACCAGGGACTAGTCTGAGATGGACAGCTGGGTGACCCAGGGACCAGGGCCAAGTCCTGATTACGCAGTGATCTGGGGACCCTGAGACTTGGGGACCTCGGGGACCAGAGTCTGGACCCAAGACCCTGGTATGCTCAGGTTGGACATCTTGTTAGACCCGAGCATCTGGGGACTCAGGGCCAAGTATGGGATGGACAGGTTGTCATACCAGGTACCTGGGGATCCAGGGGCCTGGGGCCTGTAGCTTGAGAGCCCAGAAACCCCAAGGCCTTGGGACACTCTGGATGGACATTTGGTCAGCCTAAGCATCCCCTGGACCAGGGCCAAGTCCATGATCAACCGCTAGTTACCTAGGGACTCTGAGACTTGGGGACCTACGAGATCAGAGTCTGGAGCTTGGGAACCCAGGATCCCCAAAGACCTGGGACACTCAGTTCAGACATCTGGTCAACCAGAGAGTGAGGGAACTCAGGGCCAAGTGAGGATGGACAGCTGGTTAACCCAGGGAGCCTGGGACATACGGACCCAGAGACCCAGGAATCTGGGGACCTGTCGGCATGGAGACCAAAACTTAGGAGTATGGGAGCCACAGACTGGAATGCTGGACACAGACATCTGGTCAACCTGAGTATCCGTGGACCTGAGGCCAAGTCTGTGATGAACAGCTGTTTGACCTAGGGACCCAGGGATTGCAGACCCATGGACCTGGGTGCGTGGAGCTTGGAGCTTGTAATCCTGGGAGCCATGAATCCCTGGAATGCTTGAGGTGGACATCTAGTCGACCCTAGCATCTGGGGACATGGGACCAAGTCCAGGATGGATAGCTGCTGGACCCAGGGATCCAGGAATCCAAGAATGTGGGGACCCAGGAGCCTAGAGCCTGGAGCTTGGCAATCTGGGAGCCCTGAGGCCCAGGGACAATCGGGATGGACATCTGGTTGACCCAGGCATCCTAGGACCTGAGGCCACTTCTGTGATGGACGGCTGGTTGAACTAGCAACCTGGGGATCCAAGGCCCCAGGTTCCCATAGCCCAGAGTTTTGAAGCTCAGGAGCCCCATGGCCCTGGTACATTCAAGGTAGATATCTGGTTGACGCAAGCATCCAAGGACCTGTGGCCTATTCCTGGCTGGACAACTGGTTGACCCAGAGACCAGAAGACCTGGTTACCTGGGGACCTGGCAATCCAGTGACTTGGGGGCCCAGTGCCTGGAGTTTGGGAGTCCAAGATCCTCAAGACCCTGGGACACTCAGGACAGATATCAGGCAACCCAAGCATCTAGATACATGGGGCCAAGTCTGGGACAGACAACTGGTTGACCCAGAGACCCAGGGACCTGGGCATCCTGGGACCCAGGAGCCTGGAGCCCAAATCTTCAATACCCAGTAGATGCAACTTACTTGAATGCTCAGGATGGACATTTGGTCAACCTGAGCCTCCGAGGACTCAAGTTCACATCTGGACAGACAACAGGATGACCCGGGATCCTGGGGTTGTAGGAATCCAGGGACAAGGGGATCTGATGACCAGGGGGCCCAGTGTCCA